TGGCTGTGCGGCCCCGCGGGCCCCAAAGACCCGCCCTGTCTGCCGTTGAGGGACGAGACGTGAATGGCGCGGAATATTCCCGCCGCGGTGAAAAGTTTGGCAAAGAGAAAAGGGAGAAGCTGCGGCCGACTCGGCACGGGCGGCGGCGGCGGCGCGCCTCGCCTCGCACGCACCGTCGCGTTTGAGTTATCTGGTGCGATGACATGCCGCTGAGAGAGAGAGAGAAAGAGAGACACCAGGCTGCCAAAACTCTTCGTAAAACCTGGCATTCATCTCTTCAGCCATTTCTGTTCCGGTCGCTGACACTTCTATTTTTCAAGGAAATTTTGTTTCGTCTTTTTCTTAAAAAAAGTGTCACACGCACAGTTTTTTTGTGTGTGTGTTGTGTGTTTTCTTTCTTAAGATTAGTGTTTGCCAATAAGTTTAATTTAAAACACTTGAAACAAAAAACAAACGAAAAATATATACCCTGCCCATCCAATATCCCGCATTTAGCGTATATGGCACGACTCTCTGATAACTAACTATCAAACGAACCAGTATTCTAAAGCATGGCGATTTAATCACAGAAGTGCTGTGGGGCGCGCTCGCCAGAGCGGCGCTGAGCGGCGCGCTGGCAGTCGGTGCGGACCGCCCTCAAGCGTATCACGCTCCCCGTGTGTGGCGGCGCGGACAACCCAGTTCATGGACCCTAATCGACGGGCATGTGGTGGTGGTGGTGCGCGGCATAGAGGCGTTCCGAATCGGCGTGGCGATGGGGGGAAAGAGAGAGAAGGGGGTGGGGGGTGGAGGAGGTACTGCTTGCTCGCATGGAGCTCCGCGCACAGCATTTACTCGGGTTTCACGTGATTATTTTCAACCCGCTGGCCGTTGCCCCGCCACCTACTCTCTTCTCCACCCCCCCCCTTTTCCCCTCCCCTCCCTTCACTCGCCATTAATTTCATTACTTTGCTGGCCGTTCTTTATTCACTAATAACAGGCGTTGGCTGGGCCCGTGTGGCGGGGCGTGGCCGGGCGTGGCGTCCTTGCCTTGTCAGCGCCCTCCTGGAACCGCCACACAACGCGCCCCAGAAACGTCCTGCAGTAACACATGACGGGGGGTCGAGAGAGACGGGGAAGGGGGGCAAAATGAACCGTGAAATAATGATTCGGTCGCCGGAGTTGGAGGGGGAGGGGGTGTAGCACAACATAAAATGTCTTTCTGACATTAGTAGTACACTGGGTCCAGGACAGGCGGAGAAGGGGGATTTAGTAGCTGACTTAACTCCAGACTGAGTTTTTAAGTGTCTGTAAATCTTGGACACGCAACAAAATATCACCTTGACCCCCCTTGTATATGCGTCAACATTTTACGTGAGCTGAATGTTCAACTAAAGACTAAAATCAAGAACGATGACGGTGGCAATCTCCAGTTGTCGTTGCGCCGGGCGACGCTCTGTCCGGCTCTGTCTGGGTCCCACTGGGGTCCCGGCGAGTCCCGCCCGGTCCCAGGGGCTAGATAAGTCCGGGACGACCGGGCGGGTAGGGCGTACCGCATCGTAGGCCGCCCGTCAAAGGGGAGATAATTAAAAGCACCAGGTAGAAGAAAAAAATGGGGTTCTGTTTTATCGGGGGAAAAATGAATAATGAAAGAGAAAGGAGAGGAAGAAAAAAAGGGGGCTGGAAAATGTAATGGAGTCTCGTGGTATCATTGTGGCTGCGGCTGGTCGGTAAACACAGCCGGGAGGACCGCGGCTCGAAACGCTTAATTCTGTCCGCTTAGTCGAATATTTTGTCCGGAGAAGCCAAACCTCGTTAGCTGCAGCGCCGCGTAATTTAATTTTCCCTTTTGCCGTCGTCGGTCCTGTTTGCCCAGCGACGGCAGACGCACATGACACTGGGCCGAGCATTGCGACGGAGCATACTGGGCCCATGGCTATGCAAACGAGAGGAGCGCGCGCGGGCGGGCACGTGCTGGGGCGTGGCGGCGGGGGCGGGCCGGGGACGGGGGCGCCAGCTTGGAGGGACACACCACCGCCCACCCGCCCCAATCCCACCCCCCTAACACCCCGCAGACGAGCAACACTTTACAATCGGGCTGTAAATGGACGCCTCACCCCGCGCGCTCCCGCCGCCGGCCTCCCCCTCCCCTCCCACACACCCTCCGGCGAACGGGGACGTGTTCTTCATTGTAATTTGCCCAATTTTAGAGCAAAGCTCTGGGCAGCTGGTCCGGCCGACGTTAATGCCCGGCGTATGAAGAGGCTTTACGGCTCGGGGGAAAACACGACGAAAGTAACAAGCACCCGACCGGCGACAAGCACAGAAAAGTTACGCCGATTCTCGTCTGAATAAACAACGCGGGTGCCCCGGTCACAGATTACACAGTAAAACGATGAATTGAAACTTATTTCAATAACGACCCAAATGCGATTCATATATTATATTTTTTCCGTGGAAGCGATAAAAAATTTGCACCGAATGGACATTTTTTAGCATTTTATTCATAAGGGCAGAGTTCTTTCAATGCAAGCTGGCAGACGCCTGGTAGATAGGCAAGCTTTTGGCCGCAGTGCATGGGAGTACTGCGGTGTGGCCTACCCTGAACGTCGCAGGCGCCAAACCGGAGCTCCCGTTATTTGTTGAAAGAATCTGAGAAAAACAGACGTACTTTCGTACTTTCTTGCTGGACGATATTTAAGGAAGTCGGTATTTAAAAAAAAAACAAACAAAAAAAACAGTCCCCAAGGCTGTCTAAGAAATGTGTACACATGATTGCATGAAATATGGGATTTCACATGATTTCAAGGATTTTGGATGGTATTTTAGAAGATTTCACGTCAAGTCCTGCTGGTATGCCGTCTGACTTTGAAGAACTCATGATTTCATCGGATTTTAAAATATTTGGATGGATTTTACAGAATTTCTGTGGATTTGACGAAATTTCGGCAGTATTTGTGAGAATTCAGTGGATTTCGCATGGCATTTAATTTGAGTAGTTTTCTGGCTAAAACTTACTGGCAATTACGCGTGATTTTATGATTTATACAGGTGGTTCTCAGATGATTTCGGAAGGATTTCAGGGACTGTGTACACTTGATTTCAGAAGTGGTGGTCCCCTCGGCTTTGCCCCGTGCGGGTATGCATATGCATCCCGTCCGCTTGCAAGAAACCGGTACATTGTAAACAGAGAAAAATGGACAGCGTTGATCTACCCACCCTACACGCATGTTAAACACCGACTCTGATTCCGGCGCCTCACCAGCTCCCCCATTTCCTTTATTGGTTGTGTTAGGAGTAAAGGTGTGACGTATTGAAGTTGGTGCACGAGCGGATACGGAGCGTGACATCAGCGGACGCGCAGGTCGTGTGTTGTGTAGGTACACAGAATGGTGTTGGTCCAGGAGTGAGTTACCTGGGAGCGCTGGGTCAACACACAAAGCCGTCGACAGCATCTCGCCCGCCTTCAGGCCTTCAGCTCCATCTCACTCGCTCTCCCTCGCCCGCCTTCTCCATCGCACTCGCTCCTCCTTGCACGCTTCTTCACTTTCCCCTCATCTGCGCGACAAATTCCTCCGCCATTCTGGAGTGAGTGCTATTGCGGAGCGAACACTGTAAACTGAAGTGCAGTGATGAACCTAAGTTCCATTATGCGTTAACGCAGGGGTCGCAAATTAGCGGCTCCCGAGCCGAGAGCCGCGCACCTCTTGCGTTCGGCTGGAGCCGAGGTTCCCGAGAGCCACGCTCTATGCCGAGCCGAGGCCCTATGTGTTCGTGTCTGTCTTTGTCTCACTCATTGAGTGGAAAATATCATCGCATGCATTGGAATGAGATTCCTAACACTCAAGTGCAATAATTTTCACACACTTTTTCAGCGATAAGAAAATAATAATCCACTTTTTGACGAGCTAGTATTGTATTTTGTACTGCAATAAGAGATATATAGCTTTAAAAGCCAGCGTCATTGCATTTCGCAAGCAATGCTTAATGGCATTTTAGAGAGGTATTCTTTTTGTCGCACCCACAGGTGCAATTTCACATCTGAGCCATTATTGCTTCGAATTGTTTGAAAATGATCGCACTTCAGATTCTAGAGAGAGGAGCCTCCTGCGGCCGGGGTTGCAGACGCGTCCGGACGGTGAGCTAACCGTCCTACCCTCATAAGAACAGAAAGGGACTGTTTGTTCCACGTCTACACGGTGACAGTTGGTTCTTGGAGACGGAAGCGCAACTGCCTAGAACAGCGCGCGCTCTGCTTAAAAACCCGCACTCTGCTTGAAAACCGAGCAAACTGCTTGGAAACTATAGAGCGCATCGGTTTACAAGCAGATGCGTTCCAGTTTCTAAGCAGTTTGATCTGTTTTCAAGCAGAGTGCTCGGTTTTCAAGCAGATTCATCGTCGTGCAAGCAGGTTTCGGTTACAAAGGGCAAAGTTCTCCAAGCTGCCGCCTAATCACTGTGAAAAAAGTAGGTAGGTTTACTGGAAAATTTTCCTTGACGCAAGTTGTAAAATTACACTTAGTAATCGTAAAAATACATGCAGTATGTATTGACTATCGACTTCAAATCCCTTGGCGAGTATAAAATGTGCTGTCGTAAATTTGCAACTTAAATTATAATTCGAGTTTACAATTTTTGTAAATTTACGACGATATTTTTCGCAGTGATCAGTTTGACCGGTTTTCAATTTAAACCCCACTTTGCTTGGAAATTACCACATTTCCTTGGAGCGCGAAGTCTTCACTTGGAAACAAAGAAGCACCGCGCCAAGCACCCACTTTTACCGTGGTAGTATTACTTGCTGTTACTTGTCCATATCGTATCTTGTGTTGACTCAACTATCTGATGGCACTCAATTTCAACGAAAAAAAAAACAGCGCGGTCCGGCATGTGGTGGCACTTGATCGTGTGAGACCTTTACCCCTCCCGCCCTTTTCGCGCATCTCCCTCCCCTCCCTCCGCCGCCTCCCACCACTCGGCGCTCGCGTCCCGACCGGCGCTGCCGGGCCGGGCGCTGGCAGACGGAGCCGGCCAGACAGAGCAGGCAGCAGCGGGCGGAGCGACGCGGCCGTAGAGCGCGCCGGCCTCTCACACGTGCAGCGGACGCCGAGGGAAGTCCGGCCCGCGCGCGCGCGCCCGGGCGTGCTGTGGCGCGACATGGAGTGACTGTGTGACGGTGCGAGTGACTGTGGCAGTGTGACGGCGTGACAGTGAGACAGTGTGTACCCGTGGACAAGTGCACCCGGTCAGAAGGATACCGCAAGAGGATCCCGCTGGGGGCCAGGCCGGCCCCCCGGCCTCCCCCAGAAAAGCAGCCCCCCAGAAGCATAAAGGTAAACTATTTTGTAAAATGAATAACGAGCAAACACCTGCCGGAGAACTGCCTACACATACAACAATATGCCTGATATGCAAATAGGTTATAGGTCTGTTGCTCAAATGATTTTAATATCATTTTCTCAAGTAAATTTTCTGGACAACCGTTTATGAACAAACATTGTTCCACCAAAGTGACGCACGTTCTTACCAGTATGAAATTTAAAAATGCAAACCGGAGTAATTGCACTTCTTTTTCTTCCCATTTTTTTACGTTATTTAAAGCAAATTTAACAATTTTATGTACAGAAATTTTTGATTGTGGCGGAAGTATTTTTCGAGTTAACTGTGTCCATGAGAGCGTGTAACTTTGGGTACAGAGTATTGCCGGCAAGTTTGGTCCCCCGCGGGAGACACTCGCGCGCGGAGAAGGCAGAGAAGGGAATCTTTGGGATTTTTTTCTCGCCTTTACTTTCGTGTTTGTGCGCGTATCTTTGTGTTATAGCGAACGTGTGTGAGTGAGTGGGCGCGCGGAAGTCCTCCAACAAGTTAGTCGCACAAATAGCAAAAGCCTCGGGTCGAGGTGGGCCGAGATAGGTCGACTCCTAACGCAGCCTCTCTCTCTCTCTCTCTCTCTCTCTCTCTCTCTCTCTCTCTCTCTCTCTCTGTGTCTCTCTCTCTCTGTGTCTCTCTCTCGCTGTGTCTGTCTGTCTCTCTCTCGCTCTCTGTCTCTCTCTCCGTCTCTCTCCCTCCCTCCCTCTCTCTCCCCTCTCTCTTCTGTCTTGCGTGCTCAGCAGTTTAGTTAGCGGTTTCGATCCTGCTTAAGACGTGTGGCGACTGGATTCAGCGTTCCATAGCTAAAGCATACGTTAATAGGTCTTCAAACTTTAGACCTTTAGACCCGTATACTATGTGCACATAATTTAGTTCGAGCTGTTACCAGCAGCAGGCCTGTTAAACGACTGTCGGGATTTGCCGCTTTAGAGAAAGCCAGGAAGGCCAAGAGAACCAGAAAAAAACTTAGGGAATCACAGGAAGATCAATATAAGAGAAATAAAACCGCAAGATGACGTCTTTAAAAACGTAGGAAAACCCTTGAAAACCTAGGAAGCCCTAATAAAATTTTAGTACCCAGAAATTCTCTCGTTAACCAAGAAGACACGTAGAAAACTCAGGATAACCAGGAATCCCTACTTCAGACCACAATTGGGGACCCCCCGATTAAATCAATATGCGATAAACCAACAATCAGTAAATGTGAATGTGACGATACGGTGTTTGAACAACAGTGCGCCTGCGCCGGCACCGCGAAACAAACGGCACGTGCGCAAGTTGTGCACACCTGAGTCTGAAAACTGAGCACAAACTTATCACAGCAGGTCTGCAGCTATGGTTGTTGGTGTAAAGGCTCGACCAATCAAGGACGTGTATGTGCTGCCTGCGCTATTCTTCTTTCTCTGACAGCTGAATACACTGTTCTGTCCGAGGGGGCAACAACTCCGGGAACCATAAGTTGTACACCTGACGGGGTATCATCAGGATAAAAATTGATCACACTGGAAAAACAAAGGTGCTATCTAATACCTTTTTGTGGCGTTAGTGAAATAGTGCCGTTCCAAAGGCGTGACTGGCCCCTAAAGGTGCCACTTTTGGCAAGTTTAGTACCTTTACAAAGGCATTAGTGCAGTAGCACCTTTAAAAGGTGTTATATAGCACCTTTGTTTTTCCAGTGCAAAATCAACAGAAATCGCATAAACCCCTCGGTTTTGTCCGTGGAAGTATCATGAAGATAGCGATGAGCCAATAGAACGATTTTGTACTGAGAATCGAAACAAAAAAAAGTAATATTGATGAGCGAGAATCGACTGAAATGTGTGTGTGCGCGCGCGCGCTCGCCTGTGTGTGTGTGTGTGGGGGGGGGGGGGGGGGGGGGGGGGGGGGGGGGGGGGGGGGGGGGGGGGGGTAAGCGCCGACCTTAGATGGGATCTCCCGCGAGTTAATCTGACTAGCGTCTGACGCTCGGTCTGACGCGCTGAGGCTGCGACGAAGCGCGCTCGTCGGGCAGGTTAGAGAGCTATGCAGTGCCGGCTCAGGCTGGGATGGGCCCATGGCCAGCCCGCGACAGACACACTGCAGGAAATTATCTTTGGGACTTTTGCTGTAAATTGTAGCTTTTTAATGAAATTGAAATAACAGGTTTTAACCTGATACAGTACATACTTTAGAACGACACCTACCCCGCCCCGCCCCCTTCCTCAATTTCCCCCAACACGCCCGCACTGTTAGATTCCTGCAAAGCAATCCTTTCAGTATTGGGATTTGTCCCGGAAAACGCAGCTACTTCAGGCTCAGAACGCACTTTCAACTCGATTCAGTCAGTGAACGTTGTCCGACAGCGTTCAAACTTCTCACAGTGCCTTTTATAGGAAGGATAGGGTTCTGTGAGGAGGCGGAATAATGTGCAAATACCTCTCTGCCCATGACACTTGCCATATTTCGTGACATAACCCCCCTGTCGTAGGCAGGACTTCCTAGCGTCACACAGCGCCGACCGACACTATAATTATCTCGGTAACCTTTTGTCTGTTTCATCGACAGCTGACGCGAGTGGCAGGCAGGCAGGCAGTCCGATACCACATTATCGGGATTATACGGCTGAGAGATTAAGTCTGCGGACGTGATAAATAAGCTGCCGGCACGCGCGTCTATGTGTCTGTTTATTTTTGTCTGTTGGTCTGTCTGTGTGCCTATCTGTTTACATGCCTGTCTGTGCGTATCATTACCTGTCCGCTGTAACGAATCAGCTTTGTTTAAACATTTCATTTTCATAGCCATTTCTTTTTTAAATCACGCGCAATATTTAGCTTTTGTTGTCATAAAGTTTTGCCTTGTTGCGGGGTGCTATCTAAAAAGCAGTGGCCTCTTTATTGATAACATTTGTGCAAATCGAAGAGGCCAAAGTTTTCCTTTCATTCAGAGTGCTCTTTTAAAGGAGACCATAGGTTTTACAATGCGGGGGTGATGTAACAGTTAAGAGGAAAAAAGAATCGAGAGCGTCGCGTTCTGGGCTTGAATCCAATTCCAGTGAAGGTCCGGCTGATATGTGTGCTCACCAGTGCGAGCATACCCGCAGTAAAACCTCCTGTTTGCGTGTTTTAAGGTGCGGGAAGCGCCCGCGCACATGTGCCCACACTGTCGATCAGACTGAATAGCTGAACGTAGCGGCTCGCGCTTCCAGCTATTCGGGCGCAATGTGCAATGCCCTGAATAGAGAGCGAGAGAGAGGGAGAGGGGAGGGGATGCGATCGGATGCGAACGGTTGGGGTTTGGGTAGTATCGAGCTCGTGTAGCAGCGGAGCTATGCTATTGTGGAGTGATGACAGACATCGAAGCGGACAGGGCGGACACTCACACATGCACACCACTCGGGCAGGACATGCATATGTGATCAAGTTTGTTCGAAGAAATGAAAGAAACAATAATTAGAAAATCGAGCGATGTACATTTGAATTTTGAACAGGCGAGATCGACCAAATCATTCAAGTGCCACACATCAGGGTACAAGGTGGCTGAGGGGTCGGAGGGTGTAGTGTACGTGGGGCCTCTTTGTTTTCCGTTTTGCCGGGTCGGAGGGAAAGAGAGGGGTGGGGGTATATTTGAGGGGCTTTGAGGGGCTTGGCAAACATTTGTAAGGCTACGAAAAATGTAGTTCAATTGTATGGGTGGAGCGAGTAGGCAACCCGCCCACACTCGCGCGTGCGGGACAGGATAACTACAGAAGTGTGCGGAGGTTAATCAGCCACTCACCTGGGTATTTCCTAAAATTAAAATATTTTTTTTCGTAGCCTTACAAATGTTTGCCAAGCCCCTCAAAGCCCCTCAAATATACCCCCACCCTCCTCTTTCCCTCCGACCCGGCAAACGGAAAAACAAAGAGGCCCCACGTACACTACGCACACTACGCACAGCTCACGCGCGCTCATGCAGCAACGTTGTGTGCTGTGCGCCGCCCTCCTCGTCCCTTCTCCTTTTCCCGAGCGCTGCCTTGGCCCTCTGCTCTGCACTACTCTACATCCGTGCCGTGGCGCCCCTGCGGGCGGCAGCGCCGCGGACGGAGCCCGACGGCGGGCGGGTGAGATTTCTCAAAAGACTGAGAGCAGACCGAGAGAGTCCCTCTCAAAAATGAAGCTAATAATAAGAGACGGCGGTGACTTTACGAGCGAGGCGTAGCGGCGGAGCGAGGGGAGGGATGCGGGCGATCTTCGGCTGAGCCGAACAGGGCCGCCCGCTGTAGAGAAGAATATTGATCTGCTCTGGCGACGTGCTCCTAAGCCACTTAACACGTTGCCAGGCGAGCATTTCATTCATAACTTTTGCACTGAAAGTCACTCTTTGTGACATATAAGGTCTGTCACTCGGAGCGCCGTTGCCGCTTTGCTTGCAAAAACTTTGGCAGTCCCTTTTGACTGCCAAATTTTGTCGTCTGTCGTCTTCTTGATCTTACATACCCATTGACGTGAAATTCTTCACATTTGTTTACCCAGGGTGGCTTTGAAATATTTTGTGTTTCGTTGGGTGGGTGGGTTGGGGGCATTCTGTTATCAACTCAGACCTTGTATAGATTTGGAATAAAGGACGGAAAGGCACAGAAGCACAAAGTCGATACCGCCCTCATGTCGCATGGCGCATAGAGTGCTTCCGATGTGCTGATTGGAGCGCTGAAGATGGGAGCATGGTTCGGCTTCACAAATGATTCAAAACGCGCCAGAAAAACACACAGCAAAATATTAATCCTGTCGACGCTATTCAAGGTGCGAACAAGAAAGGAAAGAAAGTGAAATCAATTTATTCTGCACACCCTGAGTGCACAGCACACACGAACAAGATACGCCCGACTTGTATTTTCTCGGCAAAGGGAAACTTTTGTGCTAACTCGGCGGGCGGCGTGTAGAGATATCGGCAGAACTTCTCGCGGCGAAACCGAAAAATGCGTGCCGACACGGAGGGACCCTCTAAT